CGTAAATTGGTTTTACAGAGCATGAAAATCTGTCTTGACAGGTTCGGATTTTTCTTATAGAAAATAAAAAGACTGATTTCTTAGTAAAACATTTCAAGCCAGGAAGAATGTGATCTAAAATACATTTGTGGAAAAGATTAGTCTGGTAAGGTAGAGGTGGATGAATTGAAAAAGTGCAGAAGCTCCCTGGTGACAGGGAACTCAGCTTGAAGGTTATCATAATAGTACTGGTGTCGAATGATGAAAACATGAACTAAAGTAGTAGCAAAAGGGAGGATGGGGCTAGTTCAAAAGACAGGGGTAGAGGTACAGAACCTGGAAACCAATAAGATGTGGAATGGTGAGAAAGGAGTATTTGGAAACAGTGTCAGAGTTCTAGCTACCGGTCGAAGTTGTGTCATTCACTAAAGGAGGAAAGATAGCAAATTTTGGATAAAACTGGTCACATGGAGTTTGAGATGCTGTTGGACATGCAGAGAAGACCGTCCTGTATGAAGACCTTAAATTGAAATAGACAGACCTTCACTACCTGATCCTGAGGTATTTTCTTTTTCAGGTTCCCCCACATGTCCCCGCATGCAACACATGCACTAGCTCTCTGGACTTCATTGCTCCGCAAACATCTCACATCGCCATGCATTTGTGCCCACTGTACCTTCCCCCTGGAATGTCTTTTTTCCTCTTGTTTTCCTGAAAAGTTCCTTCTGGTCTTCAAAATACAGTATAAATGTCATTTCCTCCAGCTCAAATGTTATTTCCTCGCTGATAACTTCTGGGGTTATCTTAGATAGCATTGGTTACTTTCGCCTTTCTTCTTTCCACTTCACACTTAAATTTATTTCAATGATCCCTGATTTTCTATCTGTAAATTATGTGAGAGCAGGGCTCCTGTATTTTGGTCACTGCTAAATCTGAAGCACATGGAATAGTACCAGTAGAGGAATAAGCATACATAGGTACATTTGAATAAATGAAAAATGAACTTCTCTTATAGCATTTATCACATTGTGTCTCAATGGCTTGCTTTATGTTTCTGTTTTCCCGACTAAACTGAGTAACTTGCGAGCAGAGATATCTAATAAGTATTGAACAAGAAATTAAAGCATAAACTTTAGTGTGCATAACAACAAACTGGGGGAAGGTTGTAAACACAAGATATTTTGGGGGACCATGACTGAGAGATTGTTTCAGCAGATCTGAGATGGAACCTAGAAATCTTCATTTTAGCAAACGCTCCAAGTGATTCTGATTCTGGTTGTCTGAGTACTACACTTTAAGAAATCACAGTGAAATGATACAGCCCTTATTGTGTTGATCTTATTCTGTCTCTTTTGTTTTCAATGCTAGCAATTACTCCTGAGGCTACAGAAAATCTTATTACTAAAGGTAAGCTTTAAAATTATTTTGTAAATACAGTTTTCCAAAAATATAAAGAGTAAAATTGCCAAGTGTTTTGTGTTCTTTGCCAAGGCAGTGGTACCTTTATTCTTAGTTCGCTTTGGTGGGTTTTTGTTGAAAGAAGACACTGCTGATCACACTGGCCCATGGAGTGATGTTTAGGTTCCCCACCTCCTTCTGAGAAGGGAAGAAGTAGCAGTGGACTGCCCAATCTGTACTCAGACTTGACCTCATAAAAATTTTCTTGGCAGCTTTGGGAAGCTTTTATTGTCCTGGTTCTCTGTTGGTGTTTCTGTAGACTTGTAAATTATGTTTGCTGACACCATTTATGTGGCTTCTTCTAACCACCAGAATTGCTTGCTTTTTTTGTCGATTCAGGTTAATCATAAGACATAATAAAAAGAATTACAAAGTCTTGTCAGTTTGGGGCCTATAACCTGAACAAAAAGTCACTATTTTCCAACATCATCCTATATACTCTCAGACTAGGATAGCAGAAATATAATCCCTAGAAAACATCAATTTACTTCTCTGGCCAAGAGAATGTAGTTAGAAATTAATTTGATGTA